GACTTGATTTTGTTGGAAGGCCATTAAGTAGAAGGCGCCAACCAAAACAGCTTATTTTTGTCGGAGTTAGTTTGTTCCATAGCCTTTTGCATATTTTTGCCTCTAGAATTCTGCTCTGTCCAACCATCATTGAATATGCCTTGCCGACTGTGTATCCATTTGCTGCATCAATGCTCCAGCTCCTTTGGTCCGGTTGGGATGATAGCACAATCCCGCTCTTAAGAATCTCCTTTAATCTTTGTTCTTCATTCTTTTCCCTGCCAAAAAATTCACGTCTCCAAATATTTTTCCAGACCCATGCTCCATTAGAAAAATGACCCACCTCCATAATTTTGGCATTCCTATTAGAGGCCAGATTAAATAATCTAGGAAAAGAGTCCCTCAAAGTTTCAATTCCTATCCATTTGTCCTTCCAAAAGTTGATTTTATCACCCATCCCCAACTTCCAGCGGAATCCTTCTCTATACATCCGAGCACCTCTACCCCTTTCATCTCCTAGTGCCACTATATTTCTCCATAGTGTGGAAGCCTTCCTAGCTTGAACTTCTTTAATATCCCACACCTTACTTCCTCCATAAAACTTATCTACAATAATGCTCTTCCATAAACTATTATCTTCCTTCCCAAATCTGTCCCACCACTTCCCTAATAGAGCTATATTCCTACATTCCAGATCGAGCACACCAAGCCCACCTTCATTTCTACCCTTGCAAACTTTCTCCCAACTTAACCATGCTATTTTATTCTTCTCCTCCGTATAACCCCACAAGAATTTTCTTTGTAAGCAAACAAGTTCATGAAGCACAATTTTAGGAATTTTAAAGATGGACATAAAATAAATTGGGAGGGCAGAGAGAACAGACCTTAGCAATGTAACTCGGCCACCGATCGACAGGCTTTTCGCTTTCCAAACTGCCAGCTTTTTATTAAAGTTATCAATAACTGGTATCCAAGGCTTTCTTCTACACATACTGTCACCTATTGGCATCCCGAGGTAGGTAAAAGGGAACGATCCAGATTTGCAATTAAGATTAGCAGCTGCCATTCTCCTCCATTCATCCGAAACATGGCATGAGTACAAGACACTTTTGTTAAAATTAATCTTCAAGCCTGAGATCAATTCAAACCATCTCAAAATCCCTTTCACTGCTTTAATATTGCTCGGGTTTGCCTTCCCCATTATAACAGTATTGTTAGCGAATTGGAGATGTGAGATGTTAAGACCGCCGGAGCCTATAGGAATTCCTTGGAATAATTCCTTGTTGACAGCTGATTCGATTAGTACATTCAAACCCTCAGCCACAATAAGGAAGAGGAACGGCGCAATCGGGTCACCTTGTCTTAACCCTTTCTCCATTTTAAATTCTTCCGTTGGGCTTCCATTAACAAGCACTGATGCTGAAGCTGTTTGTAGACACTCCTTAATCCACAATCTCCGTTTTTCCCCAAATCCAAGCCTTCTCATCATTTCATCCAGGAAAACCCAATTCACGCTATCGTATGCCTTTTCAAAATCTGCTTTGAAAATGAAGCTACCAATCTTTTTCCTCCTGATTTCCTCTACCACTTCATTAAGGATCAGAATACCATCTGTGATCTGTCTTCCTCCCAAAAAGGCTGATTGTGTCCCGCTTATCACCTTGGGTAGTACTTTCTTAATCCTATTTGCCAGCACCTTCGATAAGATTTTATAAAGACTACCAATCAGGCTGATGGGTCTGTAGTCTTTTAAATCAATAGGATTATCTTTTTTTGGGATAAGAACAATAAATGAAGAGTTTAGCCCCCTTACTAGTTTGCCATTCCTGGAGAACTCTTGGACAAAATCAACTATGTCTTTCTCAATCACATTCCAAATGGATTTGATAATATGGAAACTGAATCCATCGGGACCAGGAGATTTGTCTCCTCCGCAATCCCACACTACTTGTTTCACTTCTTCTGCTGACACTTCTCTTTCTAGCCAAACGCTATCTTCTTCATTTAGCTGTTTGAACTGTAGCCCACCCAGTTTTGGCCTATCCCACTGCTCTTCTTGAAAGATTTTATTGAAGTATTCACGCACTTCCTGCTTCACCACACTCGGTTCCTCTATCCAAACTCCATCTTTGTATATGCCCCGAATCAATTTTCTCCTCCTGTTACTGTTCATTACTCTGTGGAATAACTTGGAATTAACATCTCCTTGCTGTACCCAGTCGAGCTTTGTCTTCTGTTTCCATGCCACTTCTCTTCTTTGCCATGCTTCCCATAATTCACTAAAACGTTCCCTTCTTAGCAAGATATCCTCCTCTGTTATTTCTCCGTCCTCATTCTTATTGTCAACTTCGTTGATTTTTGCTGCTGCCTCTGCAATTTGATTCTCAAAACTTCCGAAGACTTCACTGTTCCATTTCTTCAATTTATTCCTCAATCTTTTAAGCTTCTCTTTGCACACATAACCCTTCCATCCCTCCACCTCTGTAGATTTCCAGTTTTCCTCAACCACTTTGATGAATTCTGGATGCCGGTCCCAGCAATTTAAGGTCCTAAATGGTTTTGGGCCCCAATTGCTATTAACCTTCTTTAACATCACTGGACAATGATCAGATGTAGTTCTATTAAGTCCAATTTGGCAGCAATCACCCCAGAAATTAAGCATACCATCAGATAAGAGAAATCTGTCTAGCCTATTCCTTGCTGACCCATCATTCCTGTACCAAGTAAATTTCCTTCTTGTTAGTGGTAGATCAACCAATCCTGCTAGTTCAATAAATTCGTTGAGATCCTCCCTGTAGTTAGAATGCTCAGATCTGCCTCTTCTCTCTTCTGCTGATCTCACACTGTTAAAGTCTCCAGCGATGCAACAGTAATTTTCTCCTTCATCAATCATCTTCAATATCTCTATCCATGTTTCCAGCCTTTCATTCCTGTTACATGATGCATAAACATTCACTATGCAGCACTTTTGCTTCTTCTCTCCCCAAAAGCCATAGATAGCTAAGGCGCCAGGAACTTCAATAACTGTTTCTTTCACAAAAATGTCATTATCCCACACACATAGTAGACCTCCTGATCTACCCACTGATGCCTTATATACCCAGTCAAAATTATCTCTTCCCCAAATAGACATGCAAAAATCCTTGTCAATTCTTTCCATTTTTGTTTCCTGGAAGCAAGCTAAATTTATTTCCTCCTTTCTAATCAAACTCCTCACCTCTTTTCTTTTGATCGAACTACCTATCCCCCTCACATTATAAGAGATCAACTTCATTGCTGAATTTTCTGAAAATTAAGGAAAGGGCCTACCGTTATTGTTGCTGGGCATGCCCCCGTCTGTCCCTTTCTTCCATCTGGCTGAATCTTTCCACAATCTGCTCTTCTCTGTTACTGATCTCGATCCCTAAATTGCCCCCAAATTCTAGCGTCTTCTTCGCCTCATTTAATACCAAGCCTTCCTTGATCCTTTTGTTGTTACACATAATGTCACTGTCTGATATTGATCCTTTCGGGGATGTACTGTCAAGACTGACCAGCTGTAGCACTGCTCTTCTTCTTCTTCCGCGCCTCGTTCCTGTCACTAGCATTGTTGTTTCTGCTCTCATTTCTTCTGGTATCTTGGGACTTTTGATAGGGCTATTTAGCATTTTAAGCCCACACTCCTCTTGCTGGTCTGCTTCGCTTTTTCCTTCGGCCGAATGGGCCTTGTTTTTGCTAGCAGGTGGGCTTTTGGATTGGGCTGTTTCTTGAACAACCCCTTCGTCTGATGCTGGAGTTCTATTGAAGCTGGTCTGGCTCCCATTTGCACGCTCCTCTCTCTGTTTCCCCTGAATATGATTAGACAGCACGTCACCATTATCTTTGCACCCCTCAACAACTATCTTTGAGACACACAATTTGTCAGGGTAATTAATGCCATTGACATTTTTGAAAGGTGTTTGAATTTCCTCCTCCTCTTGACCGTTTGAAAAGTTGCCGTCAAGCTCGCCGGAATCGTCACCAAAATTGAATGCCGTTGAGCTTACTTCTGAGTCAACACTGGAATTATCAATCTTGTTCAGCCACCAAGGATCAGCTCTCCAATTTTCCTCCACTAAAGTGATGTTGTAACTATTATTCTTCACTTTGAGCAAGAATTCTTCATTAATCCCTGTTTTAGATTTAGTAGAGACTAATATTCTCGCTACATCCAGACATTCTTTGGAAAGGGTGTGTTCATCAACTTTGACGCTCTTTCCCACATGATTACCAATTGTTGTTAGGCTTTCTTCTGTCCAAGCATGCAATGGTAATCCTTGAATTCTGACCCACACAAATCTCTCTTCTGCAATATCTGTTGGTGACCAGTACTTAATCCTTTCGAAATAGGATGACACCCACTGTAAGTTCCCATCAACTAGCTCCTTTATACACTCCGGGTACTCCTCTTCTATCAGCACAAGGTTACCGCCCATGGGAGTTATTTTGATCGAAGGAAATCCTTCATTAAAAAATATGTCTGGAAGATTTGAGATGATGGAAGGAGATAGAGCCACTCCTACTGCACACTTCATTAAATTTTCTTCAGTCTCCTCTGTCCCTTTTATCTCGATCACTTTTTTGTATTTGAATCCTCCCGGAACCGTAGCCTTAGCCATTGCTCTGCTTGAGTTCCTCCTGTAATTTCTTGCCTCTGATGGTGTAGGGCCCTTAAGATCTATATCACTAATGTTAGCCTTCTCTTTTTGTTGTAAAAGGCTTTGTGCATATGTCATCTTTGGAGCTTTCCTGTTTTCTTCTTCATCCTTGGTGCTTTCTTCGTAACCGGTCCTCTTTTTGCTACTCTTCCATCTTACTTCCTCTACTGATTTTGCTTGCCATCTGCGTTTCTCTTCTCCTTTTTCCACAGCTGGGTTGAAGATCACCCTTTTGTTTCCAATCCTTATGCTTTCCAGTTGCTTCTTCATCTCTTGTTCTTCTCTGACATCCAAAAATCTGGCGAATCCGTATATGTTGCCTCTTCTATCCCTCTTACTCGGAATGAATATATCCCAGAGTCTACCTGCTTTCACTGTCTTCCTTATAAAGTAGAACAGCTCCTTCGCTCCCCACTCCTCAGGAAAATTGATGAAATGGTAGGATACACATTGTTTCAGCAAACCTTTATCATAAGCTGGCAGTCTGTTAGCGAAGTCCTTGAAGCCGGTCGCCGCTTTGCCATTGCCGTGTCTCCTGTCTCCTCGAGCAAACTCCATCGCGTCAAGGGATTTATTTCCCATTACAAAAAAATGGTATAATGATGATACAAAATAAGCTTTTTGATGAATAAATTAGAAATATGAAAAATTTAAGAAATATCCATATTAATTCATCAATATTTATAAATGTCAAAATCAATAAAAAATTTTGATTCTTTTTTATTTATTTATTTTAACTTACATATATTTGCTTAATTTTATTTTTCTTAACACATATTTTTGAAATTGCTATTTAATAATAATAATAATTATTATTATAATAACAACAACATCAACAATAATAAAAATTAATGTATAAATATGATCCCGTATAATACACATGCAACACATAGGTATTTAATTCTATTTAACTATATTATAGTTTTTTAATTGAGAAAAGGGAAAATGTTATTTAAATTTTTAAATAGAATAATAGTAGAGAAAAAGAACAACTATACGAGGGAAGAATTAATATTAAGTGTTTTTTTAAATTCTCTTAATATTCTTCTTTTAATGTGATTATATACAATTTTTTTTAAAAAAATACTCCTATTAATTACTAAATATAATTTTTAATTCAACTTAATTACTTAATTAAAATTTTTTAATTAAAAATCATTATAAAACTCAA